ATATCTATGGATATTATATTCCATATTCCTCCTAAATGTTACACCCTGAACCTTTAAAAAAACAAGTAGAATAGTCTGTAAATGGGGTAGCAATATGATTCAAATAAATGCAAGTTAAATATGCCTTCTATTTTAAATCAGTGAATGCACTTCCTACATTTGTTGTTGCTATTCAATGTTGCTGAATCTGTTTTGCAAAACTGCTTGTGTGAAAACTTACATTAAGAACATATTTCTCTGTGATTTATTTAAATTAGTGTATTCAGTACCCTGCCATGGACTGTGTAGTATTTGTGTGCTAGTTGAGTTGGGCTACTCAGAGTGAAACAACAGGGCTGCTTTCATTTTGAATTTTCTCTCCCCACATAAGCAAACAGCATTGTATGTGAGCATTGCTTGCATATAGCAATAACGCACAAATTCATACAACTCCATGACTCAACTACTTTGTTAATGTGCGTGAATGTTCGGTCCTTCAGTTTAGGGTTGAGATAAATGAGCACGGAACAGACATACGATCAAACGCCAACAACCAGTTAAAGTGTCGCTCCTTCCAGAGATTTGTGGCCCGTATTATCTGCTTTAGTGGCCCATTATGGCTGCCTAATATCACACTGTAAATCAGCAACGTAATTTTCCACCAGTGACTGGACAGGACAAGTACAGTAGCAATGCATTGCTACAAGTAGAAGGGAGAGAGGAGGACGCTTGTGGGGGCGAGGCAAGGACAAGATAAAGGGTCTCTTCTGCAGAATGACAATTAAAAAAGGATAAGGGCAAAAACAGCTAAGCAGAAGGGGTTGGGCTGCCATTTAAACAGGACATAATGTGGTTGGAAATGACCTGAGCTGACACAGAACTGGTACGGGAGGAGAAAACGAAGAAAGAACATAAAAAAGACATATACCAGTATGTTACTTCCAGAACCTTTTAACCTTTTCGTGACTGATAATTAAAGGGTTTTTATGAGCCACTCAGTGCATCTCATTAATGAGCTATAATGAAGTAGCCTTGACTTTAAATAAACTGATAAAAAGACAGGGAAGGGAAGACAATACCAGGACAACTTAAGTTATTATTGAATTAATTGAATTACTAAAATGTAATTTCAAAGAGCACTTTCAAAAATAGTAAAATGGATTTACAGCTCTCATATTCTGCTCTTACCAACCTTTATACAGCAGTAGTTGGCAGCTATTTTTTAGAAAGAAAAGCTCTGATAAATCCACTGTACACTACCTGTGCAGCAGCAAATGGCAGATGATATTCCGTGCAATAGTTGGTGGAGAGCAAGAACAGAGGTAAAAGGTTAGTAGACATTGGACTTTTGGGCAGTGCCTGAATTGGACCAAAAAAGTGCAAAACCCTAACCATAACATAACCCTAACCTTCATACTTTTGGCCTTTATCATTTTTAAGAAGGACATTTTCTGTGCTGTTTTTGTGTTTATACAGAGACCCTGACTTTTTTTTTCTAACCCTAACCATCTCCGCCCTCATGCCTAAAACTAACCAACCAAACCAACAAAGGAAACAAATACTAGCCAAATCACAAGGGCAGGAAAATTATATTGTCAGCAGTAGTTGGTTTGCCTGCAGTCCTTTGTCACAGCCACAAGCTGCTCTTCTTGTCTGACCAGCCAGCAGTTCAGATGTCTGGTCATGAACATAGGCTGAGTAATTCTGGTCACCTCCTCTATTTAAAAGGCACCTTGAGACTGAGGGTATTTATGGAACACCGGAATTGTATGTCTATTCCTGTAATTTGTTCCTGAACTGAAAGACGAATGTGTGGTGTTAGTGTTGATTTTTTTCTTTCATACTCTTCTAAATCACGCTGAAAATGACAGGCAATTATAGAAGAAAAGCCACTGATATTAATTTTAGAGGCAACTTATATTTAACTTTCAAACTGAATCACATCAACTTGTATACTATGGCTGCGGACACTATGACTAATCGGAACAAAGAAAGAGAAGAAATCGGAGAAACCAGAGAGAACACCAGCGCAATAAAGTACACTGTTATGTCAGTATTGTAAGCTACTGTTACATTTATGTAAAGGACTAAATGTGGGTGTAATGTTGATACTACATTAAGTCAACTATTTTGTGTGTTTATTTGGAGGAATGGGTGCAAGATTAATGTTACCCAGCATTTTGGCTGCTGGTCTGAAGCTAAACCTTAACATTATTTTAGTTTACCAAGAAAATATCTTTCTTGTTGACTAAAACTAGGTTCAAACTAAAATTAAGATGACATTTTATGAAATGTAACTAAGGGGCGCCCGAATAGCTCAGTCGGTAGAGCTGGCGACCCATGTACCGAGGCTGAGTCCTTGCTGCAGCGGCCCAGGGTTTGAATCTGACCTGTGGCCTTTGCTGCGTGTCATCCCCTCTCTCTGCCCCCCTTTCCTGTCTATCTTCAGCTGTCACTATCATAAAGGCAATAAAAGCCCCCCCCCAAAAAAATAAATAAATAAATAAAATGTAACTAAAAGTAATCAACTTTAAACAAAACTTTAACTACATTGAGTGACAAGCTGAAAGAATGCAGGGCCATGTCACTGCTCTGTCAAATACTGAAACAGTTTTTGCTCTGAGACAAACCTCTGGAGCATTTGTACCAACCTGGGTTCCGCCTTCCCTTCAGGTATCCCACAACGTTGTAGATTTTTTTGGAGGACTGCTGGTTTCCAACAGTCAGAGTGATCTTCTTGCGTTCTAGGGAAAAGAAAAGACAGATTTTAGGATGAGCTACAGAAAGGAAAAACCTCTGTGTGAACCTCTCTCAAATTCTCTGTGAGTATTGTCAGACTTGATGCTAATCTTGACCAGCCTTGGCCAAAGAGACATTATTATGTGAGCTGCTGGAACAGACTGAATCTAAATTTGTCTCCATAGTGATGAGACAAGAGTGATGACACAAGAGCATACTGAGCCCATATTTTGTTAGTAATCACCAGAGGTGTAGTGCTATATGTTTAGTTTAAGTGCTGGAGCACACCTATGAAGCATGTGCACAAACACGGTAACGTTGTGGCTTATTCTGAAGGTTATGTAATCACTGTTTCTATGGTGGCAAGTTTACATACATTCATCAACTATAACTGAATATTTTCATGCATGTTAATTTATAATTCGACATAGTGAATTTATCAGCACAACTGAATATACTATATGACAACTTTACATTACATTGTAATACATAACCATTACATTTGTGTCTTGGCTCTCTTGCATGATATACTGTATGCTTTAGTGATGATTGAAAAAAATGTGTGAATTTCATCTGGGTTACATGAACTGTGAATACTGTATTTACTCGCCTGGAAATAAAGTGGCATTGTTGCTTTGCACTCCGGCAGAAGTGCGCTGTAATCTGATTCCATTACTAACTTCCTGTTAAAAACTGTAGTCAGTGACCTAATCCAAGTATCACAATATTAAAGTAACGTAACTTTATTACTTTCTGTTACTTTTGGATTGCCTGAATAATAAAAAAAATCTGATAAATACAAAAGAAAAGAAATATCAGTAAGATGAAATATATGTATTCTATAAAACAACAGAACAATGTAACCAAGATTTTAGCATAAAAAATGTGTCAGTGTGTTTTTAAAGAAAAACTTTTCATGAAGCAAATTAAGGCAATAGCCTATAATGCATTTTCACATCTGAAAGACTGTACTGTGATGTATTTTAAAACTGTAATCCTGCTAATAATCCCATTTTTTATTAAATATAACTGTAATCTGACCTGACCTAATAAGTCAACTTTTCTGTGTCCTGAGTACATAACTCCGTAATATGTAACCCATTACTCCCCGTGCATGGATATGGTAATCACTGGGTTCAGTGAGGTCATACTGTAAATAAGAAACAGCATGGATTACAAGCTCTGCTGCAACTAACTAAATTGTTTAAATGCATGGTGGAAAAATAAAACTAACCAATCAACAGGTTTGTTTTAGGTGACTGACTCATGCACTCTATCAACCACTTTGGCATCAAAGTTTTTTTGGTGATTACATCTCAACCCTATCTTCCACTAACAATGTCTATATACAAATAATTTAAAAAAATAATAAATAGGTACATTTTGTAGGAAACGTTATTGCTCACTGAATTACATTCATTGGCAATGTTTTTTTCCCCAATATAATAATTACAAAGTCTTTCTGTGCACAAGTCATAAGAGTGGATTTATTTTCTAACATTTTAGAAAAATAAATAAATAAAATCAATATCAATGTTGTTGTTATGCTGGTTAAACTAAACAAAATCCAGATGGCATGTTTCCAACAAAATATATTTTCCAACTGCAAATGAGTTACATTTGAATGTATTTTGTGAAGACAGGGTTGCACATATGAACGGAAGATAAAGGACAAAATGACTACTACTGGTGTCCAACGTGAATTTCTTTGCTGTCATGTTAAGATTAATTGAAACGGATCAACCAGGTTAGCTGACACCACCAAATGATAGTATATAAGCACAAACACACACACTCACACATTTCTTTCAGTGAAATTGTCCCTGTCTCACTCTCAAGGAATAATTGGATTATGTCAGGTGGATGAGAGCTCTAATCACTCTCTCTCTCTCTCTCTCACACACACACACACAAAAGCTCATTTCTGAGAAGAAACCTCTCTTCTCTCTTTATAAGTACTGTGTGCGTACTTTGTCTCAAATATACAGCAAGGCAATACATCAATAACCGCTGAGAAGAACATACTGCATTGACACGCACGCACATACATACAATATATCATTCAGATGGAAAACTACCATAAAAGCAATAGCCACCTTTGGTTTATACACAGCAGAACAAAAACTGTTCAAATCCATCATACGAGAGACCAGATGACAATATGAGGATAAGGGATTGACAATATGTTTTCACAAAACATTACCATAGATGTTTTGTCATGAAATGTACTAGGCCAGATTGGGAAAAAAACAATGGGATTTATGCTTGATATTTTAAAAAAATACAATAAATAAATAAATACTTAAATGATAAGGACTAATTAGTTGGATGTTAACGTCTACATGTGTCATAAAGACCAGTGCACAATTGTTTCCCTTCCAGGAGCTTTTCAATGGGATGCATTTGGAATTGACTCTCCTACTCAGAAGAGACAGTAGAAATATACAATTCTTATACTGTTTTGGAAAAAAAAGCACTTTATTTGAAAATGAATGGGGTTCAAGAAACTTTACATTAGTTTGCTATTTTCCAGAGTTTCTAAGGTAATATTTGAATCAACATTTTACAAGAATTACCAAGAGAGACCGTAAAAAAAAGTACACTGTGGCATTTTTTGACCACTAGTGAAACAAGCAATATGGCCCTCCTCTTAAAAATAGGACGCTGTAGGTATCTATAGCATCATATCTGGGTGCGCCTGTCATTACCTAGTGTAAAAAAGGTTGAAAGTCCACATATGGAGGTGGTGGGATGCACAGCTCTGGTTGTTGAGTCAAAATGGAAATACATACAGCCATTGACTGACCTGTAAGAAGTGAGCTGAGTGAAGCTATTTTACTGAGATAATGTCAGATTATGCTAGAAGAGGTGATTTGCGACTGCCACGCCATGTCTGCTGTGAGTTATCCATGTAACTCAGCTGAAGAAATTTTACAAACCGAGGTAGGAGCGAGCTGAAAATAAACGCCGGTGTAGAAGCTGAGAAAAGTTGCGAGCTGATGTTGATCCCTGTGGACACAGACAATCTGCAGCAGTGCGTGTGGCTGAGTAGGCGGAGCTCTGAGTGTAACTGGCCAATCACAGAACTAGTAAATAGTAGTTTAGCTACCCAGTGAGGATTTTCTTTCATCACGTGCGGATAGTGACATATTTCACTTGTATAATACTCATTTCAGCCGATTACTCGGCTCAACCCAATAATGTAACTTAAACTGCAACTGTTTCACAGTGCTAACCATGCAAACTTTATTCTGAAACTCTAACTGCACATTGCATATTAGTTCTTGCTAACTTGATTGGAAGTTGTACCTACATTGTCATAGTTTGAAGGAAAGGGCCAATGACCAAGCGGCCCTGTTAGACAATTTACAATCGAATAGAATCAACTTTACTGTCACATGCAATCATACACAGCACAATGTATAGTGCATGTAACCCATCCTCACCAGCATGCAGTGGACAGCCACTGTATAGCGTCCAGGGACCAAATCCAGATCTAAGCCAGTGCCTCGGTCAAGGGCACAAACTGGAGAAATTAACCTGAAACATGTTTTGAGCTTGGAGTGAGAACGTGTTGGTTGATAAGCAGATTCCCATTTTGTTTGCATTCTGTGGTTTTTAGGAATGCCTGTATATATGTGCTTGAGTCTGCAGGTAACGCATACACATTACTCCTGACTTCAAAGAGTGGTAATCCAAATGTGTCTTGCAAGCAAGCTGTGCTACATATTCACACTGCTCTACTGATCGACGTTGGGTGGCAGTAATTGGCTGACGTTTCAAAACATTCAGAAAAATGTTTGATGAGGAAGGAAATGCATTCAGTACATTTTTTTTTTAGCCATCACAATGTGTATCGGTGAGAAACACTGAAAACAAAATACAAATAAATACAAAATAAATAAATGAGGAAGAACCAAAATGACCTCAAATAGAAACAGTGTCCTTTATGTGAAGGTCTAAAATGCAAACTGGCTCTCACAAAGATAGCAAAATAAGACCACACTCAAACACACACCGCGCCATACAATGCATTTGACAGAGCAGTCACTGAATATTGTGTCTGCCAGCACTGCTGCCTTGCTGGATGACTGTGAGCTCTAGGGGGGCTGATGGCAGGATATCTGAGGGAAATACAGACGAGGCGCCAGTAAAGATGTGAAGCAGGGGCTCAAACTGTGTGTGACAGAGGTCCCCTGCCTACAGCACAGCACTACAGCATGACAGCCCACTTTCCCAGCTCCGCTCCTGTCCTCCGTCCCTCCCTGCCTGTCTCCTCAACCTCTCGCTCCTGTTTAATACATTATAAAAATTCACTGCTTTCTCTCATAGGTGCCACATAACCCATTTATCACTTTTGACACTGGCACAAATGACTTTGGCTAAAGAGCAGGGATGGAATATGTGGCCCGTTTGTGTATTCAATCTGCAGACGTACGCACAGAGAGCAGCGAGAGAGAGATTTGTCATGGAGTAATTCCACTTCATGATGAATGGGTTTATAGATAGGGCTGCTTCTACAGGTAAGGGGTGACTCTGAGTTAAGTTTATGAAAATATTTAAGGGTACTACAGTATGATTTTCACAAGCTAAATGAAATGTGAAAGCAGATATTTCCAAAGCCCCTCTCAGTGGGTTCTTCCCAAGAGATTGCATGATTTTCTACCTGCTGCTCTTAAAATAATAACAGTGAATATCAGTGATAGAATGTGTTCTCACATCACATCATCAACAAACTATGAGACTCAGATGAATTGTGCTGTGACCAAGAGTGCTACAATGTCCAGTGCTTTTTGTGGCATTTTCTCCTGATAGATTTCATCATTTCCCCTGTAATCAGCAGCGTGGCAGAGTGGTTAGACAGATTGTCTCTCAGGAACACAGGTCATCCCACTGCACAGCCTCTCTGTCTCTGAAGAAAGCCCTTAAACAAGATACTTAACCTCTGTCTGCTCCAAGGAACATCATACATGACTGACCCTAAAAAAGTACTTTTGCTAACAAG